ACGGTACTAGCTCTTACTGCCAATATAGGAGTATTACATATATGACTAGCGGCGATGACGATACAACTTATTGACTTATTAGAAGGCCGACCAATTTATACACTAACTGGCCATAATGACAAAGTGTGCGCCGTCGCTTTCTCACCAGATGGTAGACATTTTGCTTCTGCGGGCCAGGATCGACAGGTAATTTCTGCTTTGTGTGTGAAAAAATTATATAATATACATTTTTTCTCTATATTCAACAGTTGCTCGTTTGGAAATCTAACTTGCATACATTTGATGTCAATAGCTTTCCCAACAAACAAGTCAGTTCTCAAAGAGTCCAAATTGATTTTAGGCATTCAACAGCTCCACATAACTCCGCCATAGACACACCAGTTGCTGGAGCACCATTTTGCGAGACTATCAATATGAGTTAACTGACATTGTGGTACACACATTGCTACATTCTAATGGTATAAATTCGACGATGTTGAGGTGAGCGAAAATGCACATTACAGCTTGTTCAGCATGTACCTGGGCTTGGGTACAAAGGAAAAGCAGCAGTCGTTGAAGGTGTGTTAATTATAGCATTTTATTCATAATTGGCTTTTAGTAAAATAAAAATATATTTTCTTCCATAATTTTTCAGCTGAATGTGCCCTTTATATTTGTGCAATTGTTTTAGATGGATACACTGATCCATCAATAAAATACCAGTATCCCAAACTAAGCAAATTGCGTCAGGTCATTTCGCATTTAACACTTTGCAGAGATAATTCTGACAAGTGCCAGAATTCAAATCAAAATGCGCAACCTTCCGAATCCACACAGAGATCCAAATATAAGGTGTGAGGAGTTAATACCATTATTGTTAGTGAAACGCTGTGATAGTAATTTTTCTTAAATTTCCATCCTTTTTTTCTTTTCACTCATCTGCAGTTACATTAAAAAGTTAATAGAGGACAAAGCTGTTGGTGAGGAAGGTGTCGAGCTACTGCAGTACTGCAGCTGGGAAAATCCACATTTCGCACGTGCCCCACTAACCGAAACATGAGAAAATTAGATTATGATATAACGACGACGAAAAGTGGTACCAGTAATAGATTATGAATGCTCCGTTTTGTATGTAAAATTTGAGTATGTAAAGAAATTTGTGTTCGTATGGAATAGTAGCTTATGTCAAAAGGCTGGCTTTAGTATAATGCGGCATTCGCAGCATACCCTTGCGAATAACTCACTGGCGCCGAACCGTTGAAGAAATTTTGGCAAATAAACGTGCAAGAAATAGTTCCGATACTAGCAAGTCAATATTCTTGGTAAGTGTCATCGTAAAATTCCTTGTGTTGTAAATAATAAAGGGAATGCCGGATTATACTAAAGCCAGCTTCCCGACATAAGCTACTATTCTATACGAACACAGAAATATAAATTTATGTATCTAAAACTGAATGACTCAAATCAAATTGGATTGCATTTGCATAATATATCTAATATTGGAATCTGTTTTGATCGTAAAAAATACAACTTGCAATCATTTAGATTAAAGTTTTGAAAGAAATTGATTGCAATCGTAAATTGTGCCAAAATTGTTAATAGCAATCTGCCTTAAACTTATGTTCCCCATGTAACGGTTATAAAATACGTTAAATCCGCACTATCTGCATTAACAAAAATATAAATTGGAATATTTAAAATAAAACGATTCATATTTATTTTCTAATAAGAATTGTTTATTTATTGAATGTATTTAATACTAATATAATGTAGTGGGTAATGTTTAAAAATGAATTCGCAATATGTCCGCAGCTTAGGTTGATTTGAAGAAATCCGTTTGAATTTTTCGAATTACATCTACTTGAATATAGGATAGGCAGAGTTGGCTACAAATGGTAGTTCCGTAAATATTTAAAATATGTTAGTTCATTCAATATTTACATCTGGGCCAATAAATAATAACAAATAATATAATAAGCCACAATAACATTGACATAACAAATATAGCCGAAAAACAAAGTTTCGAGTAAACCGAGTTTTTATAACCCCCATAAAATTCCGATTAATTTTAAATACGAAAATAACGATATTTTTTCATGTACCTTGTTTATACCTACACAAGAACCGCATTAACAAAAAACCGATTGGACTCAACATATATTTCTTTACAGCATGTATACCCCTGTCTTTATAGTGCACTCGATAAAGTCGTATTCAAAAGTAAACAAAATCTGCTATTTTTATACGACATTTTTATAATAAATAATTTGCGCGGGCTGTATAAAGAAACCAGCCTATTTTCACTTCACGTCAAATGAGTGATGCGTTTATACTTGTTTTCTAACTGATGTGAGAAACAAAAAACCGATTTGAAAACAAATTAAAGTCAATACACTTTTCAATTTCAACTCGTTTTGAATTAGTTTATGCATCCTTTTTGAATCACAGCGAACTGGGTCAAAGCGCTTTATGTGTCGGTATAGACAAGGTAATAGAGCCTTTTGATTCTTAACAACATACATTAGATATTTTATTTAACAAAAAGTAACTATACATTAAATTATTGTTTTATAAAAATATATTTTTTCAATTTAATTTTAATTTAGACAGTGGAACTATCTTCATTTTAAAAATGCTATCACATATTTTTGAAGATTTCAAAAAATACTGCAAAATACAACAATGAGCCTTAGAAATAATAAATAAGCAATTGCTTTTTCTTAAAACTTCAGACCTTTTACTCGATTTGTTCAAACAAATTTAAATAAAAGGTCTGAAATTTTAAGAAGAGGCAATCGCTTGTTATACCAGAGCGCACTTGTGTACAAAGTTATAACAATTTTGTCCACATAACGGTTGTTTGTAACAGGCAAAACGAATCGAGATAGATATAGACAAATGTATACATAAATGATCAGAATGAAAAGAGAAATCGATTAAGCGGTGACTGTCTGTCCGACCGTCCGTCTGTGCACACTGTAACTCGAGTCAAAATTGAGATATCTTAACGAAACTTGGTACGTGCACTTCTTTCGGGGGATGGACGGTATTGAAAATGGGCAAAATCGGACAATAACCACGCCCACATCCCACATAACGGTAATTTAGAGAAATACGAAATATTCGATAAATCAGTATATATTAAAGCTAATTTATTCAAAATTGATGCAACAATTCTTTACCAAGAAATACGTTTANAAAGTCAATACACTTTTCAATTTCAACTCGTTTTGAATTAGTTTATGCATCCTTTTTGAATCACAGCGAACTGGGTCAAAGCGCTTTATGTGTCGGTATAGACAAGGTAATAGAGCCTTTTGATTCTTAACAACATACATTAGATATTTTATTTAACAAAAAGTAACTATACATTAAATTATTGTTTTATAAAAATATATTTTTTCAATTTAANTAAAGCTAATTTATTCAAAATTGATGCAACAATTCTTTACCAAGAAATACGTTTATGATAAAATTTTGGAAAAAAGGCGTGGCACCGCCCACTTATGATCACATATACATATGTATCTCTGTAACCGTTCTACCAATTTATACCAAACTCGGTACGGTTATTGTGCTTGCCACATAAAAGCAAAACGTTAAAAATTATTAAAATCGGACTAAAATTACGGCTTTTCATATAACGGTAAATGTCAGAAATGCTTGAAACTTCAATATTTCGAAATTGAAGGACGCTAATTTACTCAAAATTGATACACCNATAAGGACGCTAATTTACTCAAAATTGATACTGCCCGGCTTACCATGTAGCGGTAGCTTTCGGAAAGGTGAAAAACATATATTCAATCATACACCCACCCTGTCGGAAACAACAACAACCAAAATGGAAATATATTTAATACTTGCGCCGGGTATTTAATGTTCGGCTCCGCCCGAACTTAGACTTTCTTACTTGTTTTTGAATTATTTTATATACTTATTTTCTGTCTCAAAATGGCTTCTCGGCCATGCGGTGGAGTAAATTGAACAACGAAAAAGAAAAATATTTGAATAGAAATTTGTTTAAGAAACCGATTTAGTTTAAAAAAAAGGAGATTGAACATTAATCATGACGATAATGCTTCATTAGACGCCAGGCCAATAACCTAAATCAGCAAACAAACATTCGTTTGCGGATGCGGAAAACGTCGTTCCAATTGTACGTTTGTCTGCAATTTCTTTTACTAATTATTGAATTAAATTAATTTAGTTTATTTCTACTTTCCGAAAATTTCCAATGGTGCTGATAGCTGCAAGGATTATTTAGCGATTTGGAGCATAATCAACACAATATACGCCAAGGGTGGGCAAGGCCGAGGCCGAAAAGATCCGCACGTAACTTCTTAATGCTACAAAGAGCCACACAAAAAAAGCAGAAACAAAAATTTAATTTTTAAATAAAATTATTATTAGAAATGAAAAACATTCATTTTATTAATATTATTTATAGATATTAAAGAAAATTCAAAAGATCCCTTTGGCCAAATTTTCAAAATCTGGTTTTTCGTCAGTTAAAGCCGTTCGTAACAGTTCTGTTAAATGTTGGTTGGTCAATAGGTACGTTCGTTTGAATCTCCAGTAAAAAATGTCCATCGACAAAATTCCGGCGATATATCATCTCTCCTCTAACAAGAGAAAAATATCCAAAATAGTAGGCGAACAGAAAATTTGCAGAAACTTGCAAGTTAGACGAACAGCAACACAAATTTTGTATACATAAAAAAAAGCATAAAATTGAAAACGTAAGAAACAAAATCCCGAAGTCTTATCCTGACACAGTTCACTGACTAAACGAATAATTACTTACTTCCTACAAGTTTAATCAGTCGCATTTTACTATTTTAACTTCCAAACCTTCAAATTCAATTTAGGGATTTGCGTAAATACCAACCAGCTGTTTTTGATCAGCTGTTTTCTTGTTGGCAATTTGCAGTTGGTAAAAATTTTTTCCAGCAGAAACTAGCAGCTTTCCCTCAAAATCAAGTGTCATTTTGCTCTCTCAATTTCCCCTACTTTGCAAGTTGTTTGCGTATGCGAACACAAAAAGCTGATAGTTTTTACAACTTTCAATAATTATCAGGTATGCGAATGCAACTAATTGGGAACGGTATTTTGACTTTACGACTGTCATTGTAGAGTACAAAAACTCACAGTTAAACGTTGTACCAAAAATTGAAAATACACGGAACGCAGCTGTTTTCAACAGCGGATATTTTAAATCTGGTACTTCTTGCCGGAATTCAAACAATAGCATAGCTTTATGTGGCATTTCCAGTGCCTCAACTTCTTTTAATTCCAAAAACTCCAACTCTTCTTCACTTTTCTTAAAAAGGAGTATTGTAAATTCATCCTCAATTATTTTACATAAAAAAGGGTTTATGAAGTATGCAAACGTACATTTAAATAATTTCAAATTGGACAATTTTGTTTCAATATCTGCTTTTAAATCATGTGTAATATTTGTTCTAGCCATGATGAAATATTATTTTTTTGAGATCATAAATAAAAAGACTTAGTTTAGTTTCAAAACTTAAAATAATTTCCGACAAATCAAAAAGGTTTTTATTTTCTCCTTGTTGAGACAAATTCAAGTTTTGCAAATGTTCCATCATATCGGTAAAGAACATTAAGTCAGAAAGCTAATTTTCGTTCTCCAATTGCGGGTAATATTCCGATTTCAATTTGCGTATGTGTATATAAAAAGAATAAAATATAAAAAAAAACAACACAATGGAATAGAATGTCCAGCAAAGAAATATGTATTTTTTAAGTTAAAAGAGCCAAAATATTCTAAGCCAAGAGAAAGTAAAAAAAGCCGCACTTTTCTAAGCAAACAGCCGCATTTGGCTCAAAGAACCGCGATTGCCCACCTTTGATATATACAAATACATATGTATTATTTCACAGATCCAGGGTCAGCATAGAAATACGTCACCAAAATTATGTAAAATTTAAGTAGGAATTATTTTTATTTACAACGTAAAAGCGATATCTGACCCAATCTGATAAGTATATTTCCCCTAAAGTTAACCCATTTTATTTACTTTGTCTATCGTGCAAATATATATTTTATTTAAAATTTTCAGATATGTACCTACATTAGACTGCATCACCAAAAAAAGTTGCGGTTTTTCCGCCGGGGTTACAGAATCTATTATATCTTAAGACGTCCACCAAAATATTTCGGAAAAATATTTAAGCGAGCTGGACCGATTTGAAAATACCTCCAAAAATGGAGATTTTTATGAATAAAAATAGTTTCTAAAAGAACTTTTTGAAAAAAGTCCCCTCAGATTACAAAACAGATTAGGCTTAAAAAATCTGCATAAAAATATTTAAAAATCTTTTCAACAGAATCGTAATAATGAGATTTTCTATGCTGTTTTTTTACTTTTTTTCAAAGATTGATTTAAGAAAAACTGAAATAACTGGGCGAAAACTATTCTGATTTAGACTTATAGGATCTCGGTAGAAGGGTATTTTCCCACTACTTTTATTTATGTGCAAAAAAGTCATCGTGTCCCATTTTTTTTTTTTCAAATACCAAGTTTATTAGAAACTAGTAATTTTTAGCAAAAAAAAAACCGACTTCAACTCCCATATAAAAAATATATATATCTCATGATCCGCTGATCGGATCTTAACCAGATTAGTATGGGACCACCTCTGAGACACTATCTTATCGAAATCGGTTGACGTGGTCCAAANAATCCGACGAACTGATAACCTCCTCCTTTTTTGGAAGTCGGTTAATAATAAAAAGGATGAGAAAACACCTTTCCAATGATACCTCACAAGTCTAAATCGGGAGAGTTTAAGTTCAGTTATTCAAGTTTTTCTTATACCAAACTTTGAAAAAAGCTAAAAACAGCATCAAAAATCTCATTATTACGATTCCGTTCAATTTTTTTTTTTAATTTTTTTTATATTTTTGTGCAAATTTTTTAAGCTTAAACCGTTTTGTTATCTGAGGGAATTTTTTCAAAAACATCTTCAAGAAAAAACACCATTTTTGGAGGTATTTTCAAATCGGTCCAGCTCACGTAATCTTAATATTTTTCCGAAATGTTTTGGTGGACGTCTTAAAATATAATAGGCCCCTATTATGAGTTACATTCGATCTTCGATTGTGGTCGAAAATGCTGATCGAACGAATTTTGATTTGGTATTATGGCGCTCATTCGATGAAGAATAGCGCTATTGTGAACTTCGCTCGTTTATGTTGTTCACAATAGCATATTTTTCACCGCTGAGAAGCTTTGTTTACAAATCGGGCAAACTAAATAGTGTGCTTATACATATTTATGTAAATTTGTGCAAATTAAAATGAAATAAAAAAGAAAGCAAGTTTATAAAAACGTGGTAAAAAATAGAACAACGAAGTTCTGGGGTTCAACGATTCGTCAGAGGATGAGAGTTTAGTGAACTGACCAGGAGTAGTAAATATTTAAGAGAGTTTAGGTGTAGTCTTTACAATATATTTTGACATAAAATATATTTAAGAAATTTGTCTACAGATTTACTAAAAACTTCCGACTATCTAAAGAGGCTTTTGTGAGCCAAATCTATTTAAAATATTTTAAAGCTATCCACAGCTCTATGATTTGTTCTCAGAGATCGTGCCAACTGAGTATTGGGATTTTCCTTCACAAGTAAAGCAGCCTTTCGAGCTTTTGTTTTGTATTCACGACGTTAAAACTGCATGAAATTGTTTAAAATTAGTGTCTACCCGCCAAAAAGTAAGAAAACAAATGCAAAATCTAACACTTCGCTACCCCATCGAAAGCAAAATTCTGTTCGACAGAAAATTCGATACTCAACGAAAATTTCGACACGGTTGCATTGCTCATAATACGAATTTCCCTTTCGATCTTCGATAACCAGCGAAGATCGAAAATCGAATTCAACTCATAATAAGGGCCATAGTTTTTATAATTCCAATGGAAAAACAGTGCCGACTTTTTTTTGTATGGGGAGTGATGCAGTCTAATGTACATATATTTTAAAATGTTTGCTTTAATTTTTGTCTTTTTTTAATATTTAATTAGATAAGTTAAGATTAAAATAAGCTTAAAACGAAACAGCACAGCAACCCTCTTCTGTTCATCTTGAGCACATAAAACCCTCTTTTGTTAAAATTCGGCGCTGCACAAAATCCTGGCTGTGATATTTTCCATCAAAATACCACTTCGCAACTCTGGATTTCACGAAGCGTTTCATTCGGGTCGTAGTTTTGCAACTTCGCGCCATTCGGTGTTGATTGCCATATGGCTGCCATATTGTTCACACTGCCATCGCCATATTGAATACCCTGTCAACTATCTGTCAACCCTAAGATATCTGACTTGTATTCTTCCACAATGGCCAAAACTTAGCCTTCGAAAAATGTCAATGACATAAGTTTCAAGTTTTTACTGGTTTTCGTTCAATAACTATTTCTGATTATTTTTTTATTCTCTAAATTTTACTCTCAATTTTGTGTTTAAACTCTCGCTGCTGGTACTTACTGGAAATGTTGTTGAACAAACTAATATTTTTTTTTGTATTTTAAATTGACAGTTCCAAAAATGTATTCACTTACTTGGCAAATTAGTACAAGTAAAAATTGATCCTGTAAAAATTTTGAACTTCACGTAAAAATCAGCTGTTATTTTGCTCTCACAATTTTCCCTTTTTACCGATTTTCTGCCAGGTTTTGCGTATGAAACCTCTTACGCATGATAATTCGTAACGATTGTAGCAAACTATTGCGAAAAAGAAACTATTGTCAGCTGTCCAATTGCGATGTGCATTAGGGCGGGTCGAAAATATAGTTTTTCTCAAATCCCTTGGTAATAGTGAAAATATATTGCATCATGAAGCTAACAACAATCCTGCAAAATCTTAGTCCTTTATTTTAATTACAAGAGCCCGCGCATCGACCGCCAAGTGACACACAGCACACCAGTCGAATAATACCAATTCCTGTTTAAAATTGTGGGTTCAGCAAACAGGTTTGGTGCATATTATTAGATAATGAATCAGTTAATGCAAAAGATCAAGTCAAATATCATTTATCGCAGCCCTTTAGCATATCGTTAATCTCAAACTTATCCTTTTTCAATAAAATTTTAATTGTTCTCTTGATAATTGCACTGACCTATAATCAAAAGATATAAAAAACAGCATTAATATTGCTGGGGTGCATTTAGGTCGTGGTTCCAAATATTCTAATCTTTTTTTTATATTAGCTGTAGTTTGCGAAATTTTGCAAATGTAGGAACGATTTCGATAGCTCTAATAGAAAAGCAATTATTTTCCATCACCGTGGAAATATTTTGTTTGTGGTAATGAGTATGGACGGGCTGAACGGGCACAACTTCTAGAAACACTAATTAGTTTACTTATGTTTATGCATACAATAAAAAAGTTGCAAATATAGAAAGTTGACAGAAATTTTTGTTCACCATTTTTTTATTCTTAAACATTTTTTTTATAATCTGATCGATTTTCATCATATTATTATCATAAATCAGTAACAGTAAGTCACGCCTTCAATTTGGTAATTATTACGTACCGATCGAGTAATATTTACGAAAGTTATATCGAAAAACTTAGGTGGATTTCTAGTTATTTTCTACAAAAATTTCTCTTAAATTGTATAAATAACTTTTAAATAAAAGAACCGGATTACAGAAAAGTGTGCCAGGTAGTGACTTTTTTCGTTCAAGCTGAATGCAAAGCAATATCGTCCAATTGGATAGTCCTCAAAAGGATTTCCCAGGATATGTATTAACATAACGGAATTAACTAAAATACTTATATCTAAACACTTATTGCACGTCTCCTACTTTCATATAAAGGCAAATTTAGAAACCGCGAAAAATGTGCTTCTTCGGTGACTAATGAAACCATTCCGCTCCAATTTTCAAGTCTGCATAAGACTGCACCCCAATTGTATTTTGTTAATGCTTGAAACTACTGTTAAGTTATGAAACGATTCCTAATCTTGGACAATACATGTTTGACTTCATTCCCCACGATTTTGAAAACTGGCCAAATCGGCGTGACAAAAGTCCATGGCCCTCTTAATATTATATAAACATCCGAAAACATACAAATTTTTGAAATAAATTTCGTCTCACTTTTTTACATTATTCACTTGGTTGCTGAAGTAATGAATAATTGAAAATTCATGAGGGAAAATTCATTTAGAATCAATTACACGGGCTAAAGATAAGTTTAAAATTAATCTTTCGTGGCCAATAACAATTGGCTTAGACCTAAGACAACATAATATTACTATTACAATATCGTAAAAAGTCTTTTATTTTCCCCCATAAAAAATCGACCCAGCCTAATCTAAATATTCATGTCAATGGAAATTATATTTTTAATTGATTTTTTGATTTAATGTGCTGTACGGAATCGATACGTTGAATGATCAATATCATTTACTAAAACTGCTATAACTTTTCTCTTTTCAAACCGATTCGTAAAAGGTTTGGGTCTATACTCTCGGAAAAACAGCATTTTTTTAAAAGACGGTCATACGAACATATCGCACGTTTAATAACATAGAGATGTAAATCAAAATTTACGTTTTTGGTGACTAAACTTCCCAAAAATGGCGAAGATATGTATGTGTATTTCCATCTGTCTTTTGGTATACCAACTTTGCGTTTACCCACAAAATTTAAATTTTGAAATAATTCGGTATATTACTAAACGTGCGATATGTACATATATTTCTAATTTAGCTTACCTTAGTCGCGTTACTTACTCGCGACGAGAACGCTTCGGACGTGCAGCCGCGATAGACGAAGATGGGCCTCCATTATCATTTGTATGGGTATTACCTTCAGCTAAGTTTGCAGGTTGTGGAACATTGTTTGGTACATGTGCAGTTGCATAGGTTGAAGTTGTTGTATGATTTCCAAGTTTATCGATTCCTCGTACCTTCTTACTGGCAACAGATTGAGCGGTTACTTGTAACGAAATAGCATGAGTGTTTAGTTTTTCCGCCAGTAGAAGATCCTTAAGACCCTTCATTTTTTGACTATAAAGCGTAATAATGGGTCGTTTAATCATGAACTCAAAAATGTCAACGGGTGGAGGCGAAGATGGAAGGGAAGAAGAGACAATGCTTTCACTTTCTTGCAACTTCTTTGTGTTGTTTTCCGATTTTTCGGCCTTCACGCTTGAATCATTTTCATTATTTGCGATAATTTTCAAACCGTTTTCAGCATTATTATTGCGATTACTCTGCCCTTGTTCCAACTGTTTTTTCTGTTCAGCGAAAGGCTCTCCTCCACCCTGTAATAAAAAAACAGGGTTTAAAATCTTCTCACCACACGCAGCAGTTAAATCCGCAAGCGTAGTCGTAATATCCGATTTTTTCGCATCCAACAGAGCTTTCTGAAATACATACCAGAAGGAAGACATAAACGAGATTTTCAAAATATGTGCATGGGTCATATTCACCTCCTCTGTTTTAAGGATATTATTATTCATACTATAAGTACCATCTTGATCGCTTTTGGTTTCAGTTATGGAAACTTCAACATGCGGTTGAACTTCTCTCACTATATTTTCTAAAACTTTTAGTGAGGTTGTTTCGGTTAGTGATGGGAACAATTGTTTTTTTGCTTGTGTAATTTCATCCTCTATAGGGACGTTAATCACAACTTGTGATCTAATATCATAGTCGAATTTCGTTATATTATTTACTAATGGCTTAGCCCAACCAATATGCAATATTGGTGTTAAGCTGTCTTCTTCCCATTGGCAAATGCCATCATAAAAACGCAATAGATTAGCAAAAGCTTCGGAATCGCGCAAAATACTTCTTCCCGAATGGCCCGAACTCTCCGTCTTCATTACGTGCGGTATCATCTCATTGGCAATGTCCAAAAGCTCTTTATAGATTTCCTCATCGTCACGGCAACTATACGTATATATACGTATTACATCTGCTGCATTGGCCCACGCGGCAAAAGCTTCACGATACTTCAACAGCCGATTATAAAAATTTCCCTTAAATTTAAATTATCTAATTTAAAATTTGGTATAATATAAGAAATGTCTCACTACGAACCTGGTAAGTGTAAGGATAGACATGATGGTTACGATAGTATCTGCGTGCAGACTGTATGGCCTCTTTATATAATTGCTCACAAGATATGCGTTTAGGTGTTGAACAAATTTCCTCCAATTCGCCAAGTGTTCCTACATATAAATGTAAAATATATTAAGTTGCATTCGATTTTTTATATACTAGGGTATACGGTTGCCACACAACTGTTTTATTTATCTAAAATTTGTGTCTAAAATACGGCCATGAATATATATGTGTGTGTATGTAAAGGATTTTCAGATCTTTGGGCAGTACGGTTAACGAATTTTTAAATATATACTCAAAATGATATCTTCAATGGATCTTAAGCGAAAATTAGTTTTTCGTAAAATTTTTGGAAACTGGGCGTGGCCCGCACACTTATCTTAAATATTTGTATCTCGAAAACCACTTCACCAATCTGTATATATCCGTAACAATTTTGATATACATACACATTGCGTCTGACCTTCTTAAATACTGTCTTGAAATTTTTATTTAAATCGGACAAATACCACGCCCTCTAGAAGTATCGCTAACATTGAGTTTTCAAAAATTTTATTTTTTTACTAATAACTCCTTAACCATTTAAGAAAAATGAATCACACAATAATTTAATGTTTCCTCAATGGATTTCAAACAACTTGATGTATACTTTATTTTTGTGCCTTCAATTTAAAAATTTACGTTTTTTTTTTTAGCGTTGAATCGCACGCACAACCAAAGTGGCAACCGTGCCATCAAGATCTCTTTCTCCTTCCTGAACGAAAGCTCATCCATGATGATTTTGGATTTACGAGGTGCCGCTGAAGTAAATTATAAGTGAAACCCCATATTTAGGGTTAGATTTAGAATATATATTATGATCGCTTGTCTTTTGGGATCATAATATATATTCTAAATTGGGCATACATTTTTGGTTCTCTGACAACCGCACTCAGAAACGTTCTTTAAGTTAGCTCTAACGGGCATTTATCAAACGATTGTTATATCTGTTAATTAATGTTTCCTCACGGAGTTAAAAGATAAAGGCTCATTAGTTAATGAAAAATTTAAGTATGGCCACATTTGCGGCCCTTTTTTTTGTGGCATCACTCACTTTTTTAGTTCAGTTTGAAATCAAAAATTCAAAAGTTTATTATACGAGCATTGCAAAAAACACATATAAGATTGCCATTGGGCCTCCCCATTCTAACAAGATACTAGCATATGAGACATGTTACCAGCATGGATCGGAAACTCGGCCTTTCCGACCATGCCCAACAGCTCGTTCGCAGTACGGAGCGGAAACTAGAGCTTTCCGCCCATTTAACAGCTACATAATTATGAAAAGAACATGGATCGGAAACTCGGCCTTTCCGACCACGGTAAACGCCTTTATTGACGCAGAGCGGAAACTAGGCCTTTCCGCCTGCTGTACATAAAGATAGACTGGAGACTAGGCTTCGCCAGCTATCCAACCCGAGGCTATAATGTACGTATAATTAATTAATTAATTGTACAATAAATTAATGTGTATAAAAGAATAAGGTATGTATTTGAAAATAAGTAAAAATTAGTAAAGAAAATATGAAAAATGTGAATGTATAGTATTAGTAGAAGAGCAATCAATTAAATAAGTTAATAATGTAATTGACAAGATTTTTTATATGTCTTAAAGACTGTCAATAAATAAATAAAAATAAATAAAAATCAAATATAAAAATAAGTATTTATGTACAAATATCATTTTTCGCTCACTCCCTCAGCAGTCGCAATGGCTGAGTGAGTAGAGCACTGGCATGCCATTCGAGAGATACGAGAACGAAAATCCTTCCTTTTCCTTTATTTATTTATATTTTGATTTGTATATTTTAGTGTTTAAAAAATAATTTTTTTTTTTAACTTCCTTTAATTTTTAGAAACAGTCTTCCGGCAACTATCTTAAAAGCTCTTTTCTGTATTTCTAACGACTAATTGGAAGATCTGCTAACGAGGAGGTCTTAGCGTTTTGTTTTATTTATCTTTTAGCAATAAGTTTTCTAAAAACTAAACGAAATTAAAAAAAGATGTTTGTTAAAACAATAAAAAGTAAAAATTTTAGGAAATAAAGGTAAGAAAGAAAAAAATGTATTAAAAATTAAATTTAAATGAAATTAAAAATAGCTATTTTTTAACAAAAAAACTTAAAAATTAAAAGAAACATAATAATTAAAAAAGAAAACGTACTCCGTTGCGAGGATTGAACTCGGATCTCTCGAATGGCACGCCAGTGCTCTACTCACTGGGCCATTGATACTGTTACAGTAACGTTAGCGAAATTGAAGTTTATTGAAAACAAACGACAAATTTTATAATCATTCGTTAAAAAGGTTAGTAATGGGT